TTCATTTGTGTGTCGGAATTTTTGGCTAATATGAAAGTTAAACTAATCAAATTCGAAAAATATTATGACTCATTTTGATATTTTTAATTTTTTGGGGCGAAATATCGCATTAATAAAAATTTTTATATCACCCAGCAATAACAGTTATTAAGTTAGCAAAAATAAGTTCATGCGTTACATAAATATATTAAACCTAAATCTTCTGACGGAAAATAGTTCTTTTAAATTTTTGCGTTGACAACAATTCAACATATTTTATTAAATTTTTTTTTTCATTTCAAATTTAAACGACAGGGAAATTTCCTGACAAGCATTTTGCAAAACAAATTAAAGCAACAGTAAACATATTTTTTTTCTGTAAAAAAAATCATCCACGGTGAAACGGAGTAATTTTAAGAATCTTTCTATTTTGTAGACCGTTCTTCCTACGTGTCTAAAAATTCAGAGAAATCTTGGACATTCTTTTTAAAAGAAAATAACTTAAAATGTTAGGTTCTAAAAAAACAAATGTCACGCAGTAGGCTTCACCATTTCAAAAGTGGTATCCTTACTTGGCATGTTACTGACAATTTTCCTTTTCTAAAACGTCGGATAAAAAAATTTTTTTTGCAATTTTTTCCCTATCGAAAATTAAATGCTTATTTTTCGTCTCCGAATTACAAAAACGTACTGTTTACAAGAAAATATTGGGAAAGATATGTTTAAGTGCTGCAGAAATCGGTTAGTCTAGAGATCATATAGATTAATGCTTAGATTAACTATAATACTGTCTTATAAAATGTCGGCATTGTGCTGNGAATATTTAATGTTTATTACCTGTCTCCGAATTACAAAAACATTTTTTATCGGTTGACAAGAAAATATCAGCAAAGATATGTTCAAATATTGAAGAAATCGGTTAGTCTAGAGATCATATAGATTAATGCTTAGATTAACTAGGATAATATTGTCTAAAACGTCGGCATTGTGCTGTTTTTTTTCAGAATGATTTTTTTCCCGCAATTTTAAAGTGCCCATACCTTTGATGAATCTCGTCATAAATCCACTGCAACCATAATTTCTAAAATACTGCTGTTCCCAATATTTCGATTTTCAAAAATACCTTTTTGTTTTATTCTCTGAACAGCTTTGAGCAGCCCACCTATTTCTGAGTGCACGAGTAGCAATGTTCAGCTCCGGAGCTTTATAACTTGGAACTTAACCCAGAAGACAAGTACACTCGTGGATCAAGCATTGGGACAAACTAGCCTTCGTGAAGGATTTTCTGAAGCAATGTCTATGCAATTTTGAATAAAATGTATGTTTACTCTAAGATATTTCATTTTTGCGTTTGATTCCGTAACTTAGTTAACAGTTAGCACTAATTAGGCCTATTTGTGGTCAACTCTATGAACCCATAAGACTGAGTTTTTTTGTTTTCACGTGGAACCGTGTCGTAACGACACGGTTCCCAGTAGAACACCGAAGTCTACCATCACTGGCTGTGGTCAGTTAGTGAGTGGGTGACCACTTTGATCAGCCTGCGCAGAGACCGCGGGTGCGTGGTATCGGTCCTCGTGAAACTGTTCTACCGTAAAGTGCTCGACTTCGCGCAGGTCGTTGGGCTACCGAAGCGGGGGAGAAATCCCCTCTTCAGAGGATCAAAATTGCGATGGCATGTCTTCGGATCATCCTCAGGGATGTTTCCCAGACCGTCGCCAATAGCCCATTGTGCAGAGTGACGCAAATAAAGTACCTGCCAACCTTTTTTCATATGCAAATCTGATAATTTCTTTTTCTCTTTGGTTCTTGGTGAAACAAAATCTTGCTGAACTCGCAGTTTATCCGCAATATAAAAACTTTCATGAGGAAAAATAAGTAATTAAAACATTAAACATAAAAAATAGCCTTACATCTTTTTTAGTAGAAAATGAATTTAAAGAAAATGAGAGAAAAAGCATTTAAGTAAAAAGAAAAGAAAAGGGTATTAACAGTAAAACATTGTAATAAAATAATAATAATAAAAAAGTACAGAAGGATATTACAATTTCATTCATAATATGTTAATTTTGATAACGCATTATATCCAAGCAAAAAATATTAATTAGACAAAAAATGTACCGCAAAAACTTTTATGAACACTTCTTTAATAAACCCCTTGATTGCATTTTAGTAACTCAAATAAGTAAAACTAATTTCCGTCGTCGTTATTTGTTCAACAAAAACGGAGAAAACTAGACTTAGCGTTATTAATTATCGAAACAACTTGAGCAAGCGGAGTATATGAACAAACTCTGAAATAATAACTAGTTCCAGAGAAACTCGTATCAAATAATTATTTTCCTCCCAATTATTTTTTCCATAAGTCCTCCCAACTTATTCACAATAAATGGATACATAACTCTGTTGTTGGATATTTAATTGTTTTTCTAATTTCTATGATACCCGATATGCTCGAGTTGCATTGAAACACGTCATATCACATTAACTTTTTTCTTCAAGTTCTTAATTTCACAGATGACGTCATAAACTGTTGGAAGAGAAAATATATATATATAAAGTTAATCGTGAACTGGTTAAAGTATAAAATAATAGTTCATAGGATGTAGAAAATGGTTATTACCTTAACATTAATTAGCTATTTAATTATATTGATGTGTAATTTTATCTTTTAAGGAAACTTTTTTTTAGAGTTTCATAAGATTAGATCTTTTTGCAGATCTGAAACGGAAAACGTAACTTCCACATAACTTCCGTAATAAATTAGTTATCACCACTGAAATTGTCCCTTTGTCTTGCGAAAATGATGCACATTATAATTTTCGCTTTTGGTATGAAAAATGAACTTTCCCCTTTAATGCTATACTGGTGTGGCAAATGCTTCTAAAAACATGCATTTATTTTTCTTTTATTTCTCCCGGAAGGTTAAAAAAAATTGTGAAGCGAGGAAGAGAAACCCGAAATTACTTATTTTTTTTCCTGAGTTCTTTTATGAATTACGAATAAAATTTGAATTTTTTTTTCCTTCCATTTTTTTCGAAATAGTATTTACAAAATTTGTCTTTTGTCACGTTATTTTTGAGGATTTATTTTACTATTTTTTTTTCTATTCACTGGATTCAGTCTTAGAAACTCTTACAATTTAAATGAAAGGAAATTTAACTGAAAATTAAATGAAATCAACACTTAGATTCAAACACTAGAAATCCCTAAAGACTCACAAAGGGGCAAAATTAGCATTAGAATATAATCGTAATAAAATACGTCTTAAAATATCAGTCTGTCACGCTTTCATTCAATAATTCGTAATCCATTTAACTAATACAATACATCAAATGCATTTCAGATTTACGATTAGTTTTGATTATAATCCGAATGTAGACAAGTGCCATAATTCTCGTTCAGAATTTTGAAGATCTACACCCTTGCGAGATATCAAAAGTAGTAATTATTACTCCGCTTTAATTAATTTAGGCTTCTAGGAATATAATTCTAAAAGACGCTTTCAGGAGAAAAAGAATTAATTTAGATAAATTTAGGCTTAGCATGCTATAAATCTGTGGATGTAACTGAATTAAGTTTCTTCTAAATACAATTAACATTCCGATAAGTGACTTAACTTACAAAACAGTCTGCCGCACGTAACCATAGATGAATAGAATGGTTGCTGATTAGCATAAAAGTATGAACTAGTTTCACGTAATTGTTCTAAAGTAGTTTAGGAACTTTAATTATTATCGTTCCCTTAAAAGTTTAAGAATTTCCAAAGAAACGTGGGAATATGCAAGATGGCTAAGGCTGAACTGAAGTACATTTCGTTTCTGTTATTTGAAAGAAACAGCTGCTTGGCTATATATTTATAATCTGTAAAAAAATATTTTAAAGTGTTAAGTAGAGATGAGCAATCTATCGATATATCGTTAAATATCGATATTTCTTAAATACCATGACAATATTTTAGGATATATTCTCGGGATATATCGTGAACACCACGAGTGACAGTAAATATCGAGTAAAGAGTACGTTAGCAATTGGGTATACTATAGCCTACGTCACAGGTTGTGTTATTCCTACTAAATTTAACCCATGAACGGCATTTTCTGCGAGCCTAACTTCAAGCCACAAATAAACGAAGTGTTTGATCGTTTAAATAGCTACTCGCCAGATTTTATTGCATTATAAAGAAAAGTAATTGATATTCGATTTTTGATTAATAATTGATTTATGTGGATAGTGGCATAGAATTTAGCATTGCGTCATGGTAAATGTTATTCCTACTAAGTGGAAGTAGTTGTGTTTTTTTAATATTATACCCAATTATATCTATTGAATAAGATAATATCATAATCGTTTGTGATATTTCTGGAATGCAAAAATATCCGGGTAACAATAACGATATTGGCATAACATTTTAAGGAACGATAATTATAAAGCATATCAATTATTCGGTATTTATTTGAATATTGCAATAATTATGGATACCGATGCAATCGTGAATGTCGCATATTTATTTTCTCATTTTTATAATAAATCATTTTTTTTTTTAAATTTAAGAAAACGTTTTCACTTAATCGGGAAGTGAGAATATTCCAACATAAAACTAATGTTAATTAGTTAAATTGAGAAAAAAAACATTGCTATACACAGTGAACGCCAATGCTCTCTAACAATATATCCCGATATTAAGATTCCAATATTGAACTTCAATTTTTAGCTGTTAGTTAGTCGCAGTACAATTCTTTGTAGCATCAACAACGCAATATTTTAGATAAAAGAAAGAATCAATCAACTAAGTAGAACTTTCAAAAACAAATACACTAAATGGAGAAAACAAAATTATAATCGAAGATCCTCTAGGCAATGTTCTATGTACAAAATATTCTTAACTGAATCAATACCAGTTGCATAACAAATAACAGTTAAAATATACAATTTTTTTTAACATATCAAAACTTCTATTTAATGTAATAAATGTTCATAACTCGTTGAAGAAGAAGAATACTGATAATTCGAATACTTACAGCATTTTAAACATGGCTGTCCAATTCTGCGTACAATCTCAAAAGATATAGCATCTGCATTAAATACATCATTCTGTTGATTAATTACTTTGAGATAAAAATGAACTGTTTTATAAACCTAATAATTTTGCTACATAAATAAGCAAGAGCATGAGCATATTGTTCACAAATCATCAAACTGATATCAATTGTTTGATTGATTAAGTATTGTCTAATAACTCCAAAAATTAAATTAAAATTTTACAGTACGATATTTTCATTAAAGTCTCACTAGAGCTGCACAATTGGCGACGTTCTGGGAAACACCTCTGATGATGATCCGGGGCCAACAACATACGTCACATGCCATTTTGCTGGGAGAATCCATTCATTCATAGATCATAATTTTGACCTGCGCACGATCAGTTGGCAATCCCCAGAGGTATTGATTGGTTATAGGAACTTGGAGGACTTTGTGAATTCGACAGATTTTGCGTGTACCAGTCACCATTTAGTACACGGGGTGGAATCGAACTCATAACCTCTCAGACATGGAACCAACACTCTACCAACTATGCTATCCCAGCCGAAAATCTTATCATCAACCGCTTGTATGAAGTATGGCGTGAAAGTTTTTAAGATAAAGTCTTCAGCTGTGAATGTGGCAGGTTCGTACCACGGTGTCGTTTAAGAATCTCAGCGCTTATAAACAAATAATAATATTCAAATGCTTAATTTAATTTGACATTGAGATTAAGCACTTGTATGTTATTCGCAGCTGAAGGAGTGTAGTCAAATTGTCACTAAAAAATCTCGGGAGAGCCATACCTTGGCTCAGGCGATAAAACGCTGGCCACCCAATAAGGCGATCCAGGTTCGAATCCCAGCAATTGCTGGTCGATATTAATTCTGCTACCGGCTCGCAACGATCACAGTGCTGACGTAAAATATTCTGAGTGTGACAGAATCTTTGGGTTAGAATTTCCTAGCTCTAGAGTTGACCGTCAAGGCATTCGCTTTCTTCTCAGTGCGGGTCTAATCCATCAAAAAATTCTCCGCGATGGCTTGTTTGTGGCAAAGCTTCTTCTAGAAATTCCCTAGTTTTTTGAGTTGGGTTCGAGATGACAAAGCTATGGAATTGAACACTGAAGGTCGTAAGTCCAATAATTCAAATCCGGTAATAAAATAAAATGAAATAAAGCAGTTCGCTGCTAAAAGAGAAATACCACACGAAGTTAAATCCCATTAAAGTAAAAGCAAAAAGGAAGGCCTATTATTGAAGAACTTGAGTGCTTGCAAAAGAAAAAATAAAGAATAATGCCCTTTATTGAAGTAGGAAGAAAAAAACTTATGGTGAATAATTAAAATTGAGGCCTTTATGTGCCGAGGGGTATTGTCCTTCCCCCAAAAGCTGTGAAGCGTAAGGTGTGCAGGTTCGAATCACACAGTACATTCTGGATGCATCTTTGTGTTACCCTTACTTAATTTGTGCTATCGGTTTTTCAACCTGACAGGTTTTTATAAGCCAGTCTTTATATTGAGTCCCGCAGTTGGATTAATAGTTAAGACACGGTTCCTAGTAGAACAAAGAAGTCAAGCATCGTTGGCTGCGGTCAATGTGCGGGTGGGTGACCACTTGGATCAGTCTACGAAGGGACCGAAGAATTGCGGTATGGGTTCTCATTAAACTGATCCACCGTAAAGTGCTCGACTTCGCGCGCAGGTTGTTAGGCTACTGAAGCGGGGGTGCCATCCCCTCTGCAGAGGATCAAAAGTTTGGTGTTATGTCTTCGGATCATTGAAGAATTGTTTCCCAGACCGTTAAATCCTCTGTTGAACTGTTGAATCCTCATGGAAGTTTCCCAGACCGTCACCAGTAGCCCATTGTGTAGCACTAGTGCGACGTAAATAAAACGACACCTACGACATTATATTGAGCACACAAGTCAACATTTGTATATGTAACATTCGAATAGATAAGCGACACAGCTCGCTCTGAACCGTTGACTCCTAATCAGAGATGATTCTAGAATCAGTATAATTGCTCGTAAAATTTGCTGTACAAAAATGCTTTACTTTCATCTTACTTAATGCAATCACGCGCTTGTATGTCACTCACTCGCTTGTAAATTTTCACGAATTCTGGGACCTTCTATATGTTTCAAGTCTAGAGTCTCAATTCTTGTAGATGAAGCAGAGGCAATTGTTTCCCCCTTGTAAAACAGACATTCTTCTTTATTTATTTTATACAGTCTTGGACAGTCGACGTGATGTATTGAATCTTTGGCTTACATGGCTACAGAGTGGTTGCCATTGCTAACCCTAAAAATGCAGAAATCAACTAAAAATGAGATTCCAATGCATAACATTTTTATCTTCTATATATTTACGTAACCAGAAAGAACACGGGAGATATCACAAAAGTTTGGGTGAGCAGTTACTCACAAATCAAATTCCAAAAGAAAACAGTTCAAAATGACATCGAATATGTTGTTTTTAAACTTAATTTGATCTCATGCCAGAATCTAATGATAATCTCTCTACCGCACGCACGCATACCCATATATATATATATATATATATATATATATATATACACTG